CGTTTTAGACGTTTTCCTGCTTCGATAACGCTGAATCATGAAGAAGATGGACAAAAATAGCCGTAATCTTTAAACGCATAATTACATGCATTTACATTTAAAGGTTACCGTTACTCTGATCGAAATTAAGTTGCTTTCTTAAATGGAAGTACAATAACACCATTTAAGAATAAATTAACGCTTAAGATATTTGTATCACAGAAGTTCAAAAATTTTCTTATTTCGTTAAGAATAGGTTTATCCTGTTTTAAATTTTAAAAGTTGCTGTAAAATTTGCTCAAGTTTTCCCTCTTTTCTGATCGAAGTTAACCTACATAACTCATGCTTCTTTCGAAATCCGTTAACTCACTTCCGGTTTGTTAGGAATTGATTATACCTTCATAGAGAGGAAGAATTCCTACAACAAAAAGAATTTAATTTTGGAAATCGGTCATTAGAGATATTTATTTAATATTGGAAATCGAATTTTATTTTCCACATCAAAAGGTCAGAAAACCTTAGAAATCGAGTTTCAGACTTTTCTTCATTATACTAGGTTTTCTTATGAAAACCATCCACTCAAGTCGAATTACACCCTTCATATTTACCGAATGGGAGTCCTTTTGTTTAAACTATAAAGTTATGACTTAACATAAAACTTCCGATTTTTTTCATTTTATGCACTAATATTGTAAGTAGTTATCTGAGATTAACTGAAATTCTTAAGCCCTTGTAAGACAGTAAAGCGAGTTAGCGCTCAATCTGTGAAATTAACTATTGAAACAGAAGCAGGTTAAGAAACGTTTTATTAAAAGCTATTTTCTATTTTTTATTAAAAGCTATTTATATCTATTTTCGTTCCTCGCATGATGGGATAATGACGGCATCCAGATTCACCAATTTTCAAATACACATAATCCTGAACCAAATATGTGCAACTCAAAACCCAGATTTTTAATTAAAAAATTCTTTTTTCTGTTTTCTGCTAATTTAATAAAATTGTGATAAACAAATTTATTAATTTAAAACAACGTGTTGCTACTAAAAAAAGCATAAGATATATAAGTTTCAAGTTTAATCAAATAACTGTGGGATTTAAAAGCAATATCGCTTACCTCAATTTACAGTATTCATAGCCAGACCAGCAGTAGACGTCATTAGAATCGGGAAGCCAACGAAATCGAAAAATTAGGAAGGCAAAACTATCCCACTGTCATTCGTAAATCTTCAAACTTTACCATAAAACTGATTGCTACTGAAGTATACATAAATTTTCCGCAAAGAGCGAACATCGTGGCAAAAAGAGGCAGAAAGAAAAGAAAATTAAAATAACATTTGGTTAGTAAAACGAAAATGCCACAAAATTACAAAATATAACTTTTTATATGCTCTCCTTGTCTCTATACCTAAGTATATGAAACTTTTGAACTCATTATGAAAAATAATGAACAAAAACTTTAACCCGTAAGCTTTTCATATGCGACAAAAATTGAATGAGATATTTAAATTCAAAATTTTGGATATTTAATGGAATTTTCGATTTACCTCGAAATAGTTTAAATAAATTAAAATAATTCGATTTTTATATTCTTCCTTAAGTGTCATTCAATGATATTTTGTGATTTACTAGTGTGTAGCATTCCTTAATTTATAATTTTGTTGCGACTGGTATACAAAAAGAATTTTCACTCAAGTAATTTATAAGTTTTCAAACGCTAGAAATGCGTTATTTATGTTCTTATAAAGTTTTATTACTTGAGAAACAAATTTATGCAAAAAAGTCAGTAAACTAGAAATACTTTTTACCTTTAATTTCGGCAAATAATGATAAAAATTGTGCATATGTCACTGGTGAAGCTTGTCAGTGTTTTCTAAACAAGGAATTTTATTATATTCTAGGATTAAGATATTCTTTTTAAAAGAATATTTCCTTAGAATATTATTCAAACGAATTTTTCAGGACAAATTGCATAGAAATGCTTGTCACTTAATGTATTAAAGTCAGAAACGTTTTTCTAAATTGATATTCTATATTTAGTTGCGTAAAGTGCAAACAATGCTCTTCGATTTGTGCACACCCCCTAAATATGATGTTCAACTTTAGAAGGAATTATGTAGGTCAGTTTCAGTCATTCGCTTTTTAATTTTACTTTATATAATTAGCCTAAGATTTTCTGAACTTTTACTTACTTTCTTAACTTAAAAGTTTTCTTAAGCATATGATCCGAGGGGATGTTAAAATAGAACTATTTCGTAATTTTTACAAAGGCATTTTTTTTAATAGAAAATGCCAAAATGCCTTAATGTACCTTATAAATTAATATAACATTCTGTGCAATTTCTTTGTACAGTATTGCTTACTTAATATAAAATTAAATATTGCGAAACAGTAAAATCAGTTTAATTCACAAAATTAATTAACAGATGAAATTTATGCAGTAAGTAAAAAAAGTTAATTCTTGAAATTGTTTTCAACTACTGCATATATACCCTTGATAAGAAAAGTAATTTTTACTTCCTTTTACGAAGTAAAGGAATTACTGTAATCACAAAAAACTCCGGGTGTCATATTTCAACGAAAATATCCATTTTTAAACGCTATGGAATGCAATTTAACGATATTTTTTCGTGATAGCTGTATGTAAGGAGCTGTACGTATAAAGGGCTATTTTTCCCAAACCTAATTTACAAAGCTGATTTAAAATGGATTCAGAAGAGTTCTTGTGTAGCTTCTGCAAGTACGTACATACATATGCGGGTATCTCGCATAACTCAAAAACCAGTCGCCTCAGGAAGTTGAAAATTTGCGTATAGAATTGCTATAACATGTAGTTATGCACCTCGTATTTTGGTTGCAATCGGCCGCACCAAAAATATATAAATATGTATGTGTGATATTTTAATGCGTAGTCGTCATGGCTGAGAATGAAGGCATACAGACGAAGCTAACAAAACGGAATTTTAAGAATCACCACCTTTATTTTTACGCATATCAAATCATTTCTTTGGCAGACAAGTTACTTTTTGATCATAGTCTTTGGCAGATAAGTTACTTTTTGATCATACAATAATTTTTATGTACACATGCTAAAAAGTAAGATGTCATCTTAGACAGGAAAGCATAGCAGCGCATTTATGGAAAGGAATAAATGACCTAATTGATTGTGATGCAGTATTTATACTACGTAGGTGCATAAGTACAGCTAAGCTGCTATTGGTTAATTTTAGGTTATTATGTAAAGTGGAAAGATCTCGAATTCGGGAGAACAGATGAACTTGCGGGGAGGGGCGAACATCAAATTTAAAATAGTCAATTTTGAGGTTGCCAATTATTTCTTAGCGTATCCATCTTATTTCATTATATCTTATATATATATATGCTCGCTCTGTTACTCTGCTCAGTTTTTTCCATTCTTGTATGTTGGTAAATTGTGCATTTTTTGCTTTAAAAATGATTGCATTATGTTGTTTTTATCTTCCGGTTAAGGGTTTTATGCCTTTCGTAATTCTGGAAGCAATATTTATACAATTATCAACAATTTAAAAGCTGTTTAAGTGCGGTTAAGTTTTAAATAACATGGCGGACATATTTGTTTACATTTGAAATAGCAGAATCGTAGATTTGTTGCCAATCTAGAGAGACTAAGCTTCGCAACACAAAAATAACGCATTCATTTATTATTGCGAATTAAATCATGCTTAATCCTTTCTGGAATTTCATCGAGGAAATAAGTGTTTAAGATTTACTTCGTAATTTTTAATGCAGATATTTTGAGTTTTTATGTATTTTTGCCTTGTCGCGAAGTGAGAGCTGAATTAATTGAATGAGAAATACTAAATCGTCTGTGGAAAACTGTTTCTTTTGCATAATTACTTTCATACATCGTTTTAGCTTTATTATAGTATTTGAATAGAACATGTGGCAACGATAATTCTTGAAATGATGTAAATTTTGGGCATTCAGAGTGTCGTTATAGTAAACAAATATAGTGAATTTTAAAGAGTGCATTTATTCTATTGTGGTTTATGTCGACGAAGTAGATTTATTTCAATCCAATCAATTTAAATGAAATTCAAGAAAAAATGCGTATAATTTAATATTCCGTACAAGGATGTCATGTGGTGTACACATCAGATTTTTTAATTTTAATTAAATTTAATTATTATTTGAAATGTTTTTATTTTCATATAAATATTTTTTAAATCACAAAATAAAATATTAATAATTTTACCGATCATTTTAATGATCGGTTCCGAAAGATTTTATCTCCCCTTTTCCACATAAAAGATAATCTCAAAACTTAGATTTAGAAATTCTATTGAGACATCTCTAGAATGATGGCCCAGTTTTTTATTAACGGAATACGATATTTTCAGTAAAATGCTATTAGTTGATTCGATGCAGGGGTCCTTTAGACACTTTATGCAAATTTTTTCTCGTATAATCTCTGGAATATCTACATGTATTTCTCAAGAATCTCTAAACATAATTTTACCAGAACTGTATCTAAAATTTTATGGAATTATACAGAAGATAGATGATCTTGTTTATAGAAAACTGAACATAATTCTAAAGAACTCTAAAGAAGTTCAATATTGGATTTTTTTATAGAATTCTGTAAGACATTTTCTTAAGTGAATCTACTAAATCGAGGTCCATTGATAATGATAGACTGGGAAGAGAGTGCGGATGTGTTTCAGAGAGAGGCGGTTTAGTATTGATTTATGAAACCAAATGAATTTGTTGTATAAGTAAAACTGCTTAAAAACACGGATAAACTGTTTTATGTTAATTATAATATGGGTTATATCTCTTTGCCATATTCTTTTAACTGCTCTCTGTTCGACCTTGTATTGCAGTTAACTGTAAACGTCATATTATGTATTAATGTTTCTACTTTTAAGTACTTTTGAAATTATTGTAAATGTTATTCACGTGTTTGGTTATTGCGACTAATGAGAGATAAAGAGTTTATTTCTGGGATTGATGCTGAATTTTAGAACAAAAAGGAGTCATTTGATATAAAATAAATTATTTTATTCTAATCTTCCTATATTTTCTGTAACGAAAATTCATTTTACATTCTCGTAAAGAAATAAATTACATGCATTCGATTCATGCAACAAACCATTTGAATACGTCCATCCCATACCCTGAAGCTTCAACGATGAATATCATCGTTGACTGAAACAAAATGATACCTGGCTTGCGCCTTCAAGTTTATCACCGACTTAGTTCTTGTTGACAGAAAATGTGATCATCACTTCCCATTTTCAAAGTCCGATAAGTAACTGGCCAGCCTCATCACTCATGCATTGGACTCGGAAATCAATCTGCAGTTCAAAAACTTCCTTCATACCCGGAGGAAAGCTAAAGAAGCGTTCACAATTTCCCTACAAGGGGTGAAGAGGCTGCAGCGGCGCCAAAATGTCGGTATTCTGTCGTTATGCCTTGGCTTCCACCCAGAAGGGGTTCATGCTTGATTTCTGTTTTGAAACCTGTAAGGGGTGCCACCACTTCGACAGCTTTGGATTCGTAGAATTCGTGCTCTGGTTCGTCGATGCTATGGTGTTCAGGCTCGATGTCAAGCCCATAACCATGTTCTGGCTCCTCGTCGAAACTGTGGTGCAGCTTCTTGGGTTCCTCGATTGCGTGTGGTTCTGCATGGAAACCTTTGCCTCCCGTGATGTAGCCGATCCATTTGTGAGCGTGTTCGTGCCCGTGCTTGTGACCATGCTTATGCCCGTGTTTATGACCATGTCCGTGTTCGTGCGCATGCCCGTGTTTATGCCCATGTCCATGCTTGTGTCCGTGTTCGTGTTTATGACCATGAGCGTGTTCGTGGCCGTGCTTATGTTCGTGTCCGTGTTTATGACCATGACCGTGTTTGTGACCATGTTCATGAGCGTGTTTGTGTCCATGTGCGTGCTTGTGCCCGTGAGCATGGCCGTGCTTGTGTCCATGAGCGTGGCCATGTTTATGACCGTGTTCATGAGCATGTCCATGTCCATGCTTATGTCCATGCTCATGTTTGTGGCCGTGCCCGTGCTTGTGCAAATGACCATGCTTGTGCCCATGTCCGTGCTTATGACCGTGGTCGTGTTTATGTCCGTGTCCATGCTTATGGGCGTGTTCATGTGCATGTCCGTGACTATGACCATGTTCATGCTTGTGAGCGTGTCCGTGTTTATGCTCGTGTCCGTGTTTGTGCCCATGAATGTGCTTATGTCCGTGAGCGTGTTTGTGACCATGGGCGTGTTTATGGGCATGCTCATGTTTGTGGCCGTGGGCGTGTTTATGCCCATGCTCGTGTTTGTGTGCATGGCCGTGTTTATGCCCGTGTTCATGCTTGTGACCATGGGCGTGCTTATGCACATGTCCATGCTTATGGCCGTGCTCGTGTTTGTGCCCATGCTTGTGCTCATGTGCATGTTTGTGCTCGTGTCCATGCTTGTGCTCATGACCATGTGCATGTTTATGGTCGTGACCATGTTTGTGGTGATGGTGATGGTGGTGATGATGATGATGGAAATGCTCCGTCTCATCCTTAAATATGATCACTTGCTTTCCTTCATGGCTGAAATTAAAAATAAATTATTTTCATAATATAAATGAAATAAAAACACTTCTTTCATAACGAAGAGAATACCAATTAAGTAGTAGCATTTTTGCCATCTTATACATATTACTGAAGCAATGCACTGATTGCATTATAAGTTCTAAATGTAGATCTCGGTAGATAGTTGCAGTTATAAAATTAAGCTAATATTTAGTTTATTCAAGAAACACATTATATCCCTGAAATTTTAGATTTTATCCCGTTTAGTAGACAATGTACACTCGCAATAATTGTGAACGTTTGTTAGAAACGTAGTAGAAGAACTAAGTATTTTGCCTTCAAAGCATAACCTTTTCAACTATCCCACCAAAACATACGAAGTCTCTGTTCGCTGAAAAACATACTTTTCTTTCTTCAAAGTTTTAAGGTATCTGCCTACGTTCGGAGCACTTTTTTTTAAAAACATAGAATTCTGATGAATTCTGATGAAACGTTTAGTAGACAATGTACACTCGCAATAATTGTGAACGTTTGTTAGAAACGTAGTAGAAGAACTAAGTATTTTGCCTTCAAAGCATAACCTTTTCAACTATCCCACCAAAACATACGAAGTCTCTGTTCGCTGAAAAACATACTTTTCTTTCTTCAAAGTTTTAAGGTATCTGCCTACGTTCGGAGCACTTTTTTTTAAAAACATAGAATTCTGATGAAATATATATTTATTTAGTCAAAATATGATATCAAATCATGAAATAGGTAAATTTTAGAAATATTTTTATAAATTTTTGAAATATATGCAATTTTATGCAAATTTTTAGGAGAATTAAGACTTGCGTTAAAATGCCGTATATTTTTCTCACAGCATATATTTAAATTTTTTTATACTGTATACTACTACAACACTTATCTGTGTTATGAACTAAAATATATGATATTTCTAAAATTTACTAAAACATGTGTAATTACATGAAAAAACACAGTTTTTTTGTAAAAATATTTCTTATCGTTTATATAGAATACTTATAAAACAATCAATTAATAAATATTACTTAGATTGTAGCTTAAAACCTAATAAATAATATAGAAAAATTTTCGTGAAATTAATAGAGATATCTTTAGAACATTTTGAGTAATTACATTTCTTGTATGTAAAAACACAGAAAAATTAGTTTTTCAGAAAAACGCATTTAAAGATTTCACATTAACAGAAAAACTGTTCTGTGTTTTACACACTTAAAATCTCCACATTTGTACATCACACCCTCCATACCTTTACTTAAGTCATTTTGATTTCCTATTTGATTTAATTTTTTTCTGGCTATTTTCGAAATGAGCGACGAATGAAGTTTCGAGTTCTTTATTCTTTCGTTATCAATTTCAAAGTAATTTTTAATCATTTCTTGTTCAATTGATATGCCTAAATGTTCAAACACAGGAAGTAATCCAAGATACCCATGAATTAAAAATTAAAACTGCTATTATATGCACCCAGCAACATAGTCTTTATACCTAATCGCAATGTTGCCAGACCAGTTAAAAAAAACCGCAATGTTGCCAGTCCCAAGTTAAAAACAATTAAGGCAAAATAATTATGACCAGAAACAAAAAAAAGTACCCAGAATTAAAATGAAAGTGTTTTAGCACAATTTACACACAAACAGGTAAAAAAAAACACGGATAACAACATTGTTTACCTTTAAGTGAGCCTTTTAAATGGCACTTCCGGTCTTTCTGCTTCACTTCCAGTGCAGTTAATTGGCTATACCTTCTCTTCTAATTATCACAACGTAAAATGAACCATTTTCGGAATCCTACCAAATTGACCTTTCAAATTGGGCAATAAAAAAATCGAATTTTTTCGCCGAAATCGTTTTTTTAACGTAGGCAGATACCTTAAAAAGGCTACGTTATTTGAATGATTTATTATGAATTTTATATTTTTATCTTTAAAATAAAACTGAATTTAAATTTTAGTAACGTTGTTTAAGCTAAACAAATGTGTAATTATCTAGAATAAAACTTACTGAGGTTCTGGCTCTGGTTCCGGTTCCGGTTCGGGTTCTGGCTCGGCAGCAATATAATTTGCCGTCACCAAGAGAAGAAGGGCACAGACTTTAAGATGGATCCTCATCTAATGTGAAAAAAGAATTATTTTATACACTGGTTTGTCATTTCTTAAAAACTTCACTTCAGAGTGACATTGAAATTTACATCTTTTCGAAAAGTGTATGAACACTGATTTGACCGTAGTGATAGTTCAATGACCGAAGCCTAATTTTATACAAGGGAAAACAGACCATGAGTCCAGTGGTTTTCCATTTTCAAGGGAACTTCGGTAACCTGGAGTATTGTTTAATTGGAATAAACTTGTATGTACCTTACAGTTTTAAATGTTAAAAGGAAGTATTAAAAGCAAGAACAAAATCTGAAACTTCTTATTAATTTATCCATGCCTTTTTTGAAACCGCACTATTAGCAGGCTAGTCTAAAACTATTATTAACATTGTTATATCCTTTTATAAATTCTACAACAGTAGTAAAAGTTTCCATTTCATGTTGGGCGAAATCGTCAGAAGGAACGATTTCTTTACGACGTAAGAAAAAGAAAACTCTGGTTTTAAAAGTTTAAGTATTTTATACAACATATGCATCTAAATATTTTGTACAAAAGCTCAGTATTTCAGCATAAGCAGTATTACGTAAGTATAAGTATTTTATACATATTTTGTATTATTAGTTAGTATTTTAAACAATAAGTAAAATGCACTCAAGGTATAAAAGGCTGTACAAAAAGTGAAATACGTTTTTTCAAATAACTTTAAATGAAAAAAATGTTGAATTATTAGAATATTTAATCAAACACTTTATGTAATTCGCAGTTACATGTACTATATCAAAAAAAAAAAAAAAAAAAAAAAGTCTGAAGAGGCGTGGCCGTCAAAAGAATTTGTATTCCAAGTCTCCACATTGGTTAATTAGGCTTCATAAAACTTTTCATTTCTGAATCATCTTAGTGAGACAAGAGTTCATTTACAAATCGTCTTAGGAAGTTTAATTAATAATTTTAAAGTACAGATCACTAAATTAATTATTTTTTTGTATTGAATTAAGCATATAAAAGTAAAGATTCTGTAATTTTTCTTCTTCATACCAAAGTAGTAGGAATTTCATAGTTTCTGTGGGTGATGAGGAAACAATTTATGTTTCTAAAAAGTGCCTGATATATTTTATTCAAATCAACCTTAATTCAATTTATTTCACAAGAATTTTGCAATTTATATAATAATATAAAAAAGTTCTGAATAATTATTAATTTCATTGCATGGTTTTTTGATTAAGCAATACTAAATATCTACTAATTACTCAAAATACTACATTTGTGCATCTGGTAAATTACTAAATATCTACTAATCAACAGCGTAATTATAATAATAAAAATTCTCAAAATTGAATTTTTATTATGAAAATGCATTAAACTTCCTTAAAAGGCATGCTTTAATAGCAGATAGTTCCTAAATTAAAATATTTATTAAATATTCAAAAGCTGTGCTTAGTATTTTTCTGATTTATTACTAAAAATGGAAAATACTTTAAATTCCCTGAAATTATAAATTTTCGTACTTTTCCAAAAACTGATATATCTAAAAATAAATGTAAAATAGCTGTGGAACTTTAAAAATAAAATTTGTTTAAAAATGTCAAAATAAAAATTTTTTCTAAGCAAATAAATAAAAGGCACCAGTCTTATCTAATTAATTAAATAATTAATAAACTAAAAATTTAAAGAAAATTTAATTTAATACTCTTATTTTCAGGCCCATTTTTCCCAGCATCTGAGAAATAAAACTTAATATGTTCATGTTACAAGTATGTATGATCATAGTATACAAATGCTAAATCTCAGAGAACCGAAAATACATTGTTTATAATTATAATGATTTATATGTTTGTGGTACCTTAGTTACATTATATTGTTACAGGTAAATGGAAATAAAATAAAAAAACTAAAGAAAATATGTCGTCATAAGTATCATAGACTTAAACAGGACAGATTTGACTTAATTTTTATGCTGAGGTAACAAACAACCTGTTAGTATAAATATGTCCACATAAGTAATCAGACTTAAACAGGACAGATCTGAGTTAATGTATATGTTAGTAATTTAACTTTTTAGTATGTATCCAAACAAACTAAAACAGAATAATCTTTAAAAATGGATTTTCTGCTTTTATTTAACAAACTGAAGTTCGATGCTCACAAAATTGCAAATAATAAAGGTTAAAATGAACATCAAAATAAAAAAACCATTTTATTTCATTTATACTTTCTCCATGCGTTATGGACTGATTAAATTAAGAACTTATGATATTTTTTTCTAACTATAAAGCACTAAAAATAATAAAACAGTCGCTGAAAAAAATAAAACAAGTTATGATATCTTCATCTATCTGGAAGGCACTGATAAAATAATAAAAAAATTACGTATTATAAATAAGAATTTATGATTTTTTAACCGAACAGCACAAAATTTCATACACTGTATTTGCTTAGAGTTGAAATGTTTTATTATAAGCTTAAAGTTTTTTAAAGACATAATACTCTTCGAAGTCCTCAGTCATAGATATTAAATCTTCGCATCACAAAAACACTTTTTACCGCATAAGGAAATAACACCTTTTTTTATGTATATAACATAAAATGAGAAATTTATCCCAGTAATTCCTCGTAAGGTTATCCATCCTCAATCAAACAGTCTTTTATGTTTATTGCCAAAATCCAATTCTTAACTTTGCTTGAGAAAGTAAAATTAGATGATATCGTTTTTTCAAAATCGAAGTCTATTTCATAATAAAAGAAAGTAAGTAAACCCTAATAAAGATTTATTTATGTCAACATATTTTGCTGAAAACTAGCTTTCATATCTAAGCTTTATACAAAATACATTAATTTATCTTCGTAACGTAAGGCAAAATAAATTAAGAATAAGAAGTTTAAAATCTAAAAACGATCGAAGTAAAATACAATAATAATTTCACCTTTACTTTCTTCTAAGATATTCATAACCTAAAATTTGAGGAAAATAAAATAATAATTTTAGTTAAATATCCAAATGAAACACAACTGATTTTGTCTTTATTTTCTCCTAGAATATTCTTAATATAAAGCAGTTTTAGTTAAAAAATAAAATCAAGTAAATTAAAACATTAATTTTGCTTTTACAATTTCCCTAGCATATTATGAACCTAAATGCTCAGAAAAATAAAGCAATAATATCATAATTTTGCATAAAATTTCGAGTGAATTAAATAATAATTTCATCTTTTCTCTTTCTCCTACCATATTTTCAGCCTAAAGGTTTAGGAAAAATTAAGCAATCATTTTATAATTTTACTTAAGACTTCAGGTAACATAAAATAGTAATTTGTTTTAGTTTAATTCTAGAATATTATGAACTTACATAAAAATAAATAAAATAAAGCAATATACATATTGCTTTATTTTACTGAAATAAATCTATTGCTTTATTTCAGTAAAATAAAGCAATAGTTTTAGTTAAAAATCCAAATAAAATAAAATTATAATTTTGTCTTTCCTTTTCTCCTAGGATATTCTGAACCTAATGATTCAGTAAAATAAGGCAATAAATTTTATATTTTTAGTTAAATGCTCAAATGAAATAAAATGATAATTTAAATTTTTCCTAGAATATTATCAATATATCAATTACTTTTCTCCTAGAATATGTTCAACGTAAAATTTATGAAAAGCTTTTCTCTAATGTAATTATTAAAGTGTTAAAATTTAATGCTTTACTCTAAGGCACTAATAATATTGAAGCAGTTCTAGGTAAGACATAATGGTAAGTAGCGGCACCGCAAGGTTATTTTAAAGTATTAGTAGCAATCCTGGTTCAGTTGTATGAAACTTTCAAATCCCTTCTATGATTACAACAAAGGCTTAGGAAACAAAACATATATTCCGTTGTTCTAGTAGTAATTATCACAGAGACAAGTATCCTTTGGTCAAAGATAAGAACTATTAAAAATACTCAGTCTGTTAATCGAACTCAGTTAAGATCAAAATGTTAAAAACCAAGTAATCCGAAATATTTTCTGGATGAAGACAAGTTATTGCATAAATGACACTGGCGACCCGATTGGCTCCGATAAGCGTTGCTGGCTGCCATATCGATGGGCCCGGGTTCGAATCTCTGAGAAGAATTGGATGTTTGTATATATTTAGAGTCTTTACTGCACAGGGGCACTTAAAATGCACAGCTAGCAGAAAAGTCCTCTCAAGCGCTTTGTGGTAGGTAGAGATGGGTGGGAGACCTTTAAACCCTTCCTTTCCCCATCGGAGGATTCTAGCTTAAAACTGGAACGAAGCAGGTCAAAATCTCATTGTTACCAAAAAGGGAACCAAGGCTCATTCGAGTAACAGATTCAATTCTTCGCTCCTAGCCACAATAAAATTTATGATCTTATTCTGACGTTACTATCAAATAAATGACTTTCAGTGACGATTATTCTTCTTAGCTATTCTGTAAGTCGAAATCGAACTGTACTCAGACTGCTAAAATCTAAGTTTAAATAATCCAAAATTCTTTCTAGGTAATTCATAAATACGGTAGCGCTGCAGCAGTTTTAAGATAAGATATTGTAAGACAAAACTGTGTGCAGTGACTCCGTAAAGGTTATTTAAAACACTGATAGCAAACCTTACTCAGTTTTCTAAAAGTTGCATATCCTCTGTACAGTTACTGCAAACTTTCAAGAGAAGGGAATATCCGTTGTAAATTTTAGCAATTATCAGAGGCCGGTACCTTTTTTTTCTGTTGATGGCTGTTTAAGACTCTACTTACACAGTTAAAAACCGAGTCTGAACAGATTGAGCACAGCCAAGAAATCTATGATTACCGCATACTTTTAAGAAACAAGTAATAGTCTAACACGGAACCCAGTATCTTTTTGCTTCTTGTTGCACTCGATTCAAACTTAGTTGCTCTTAAATGCACTCGTATTGTTATACACCGCCTTTAAACGATCCAGATTACTACGGGAAAACAATAGTTGGTAATCCTGTGATGGTCAATGCAGCGAAACTGCAATTCGTGTAATCCGCTAGAAAAAGAAATAATGGTAAGTACCTTTATCCGAATGGACCTCTCTCTCTTTCTCCACCGGGACTTTCTCTTGCGGTTCTGAAGATGCAAATGAAAGGATTGCTCCTGCTTATATACTTTTTGGTGTCTCCGTTATGAATGCTCCGCCAGTGGGAAACGACTTCCTTTTTGGCGCGAGAATTGGGAGTGGACCGTCCATGCGTGACCGACAATCGCATTTCCTCCAGACAATTCGCCCAACTTTCTGCAAGAAAAAAAAGAAAACAACAACAAAATATTTTCGCGTATTTTGGGCACACAACGGATTCATTCAAATCTCGTTCCCCTAGATGCCCACTTTTGCAATTTGTTCTCATTCGACGTTCGTGACAAAAGGGACGAAAGGAAAAATAATCTCACGTGGGCAATTTCCAGAAAAGCAGTGCATTCAATTAACATTCTCTGAAACCTCTGAGCTCTACTATTCGACAGGAAACTAGGGTCTACCCATTACATGTAATTGATAAAAATTATTTTATTTGGACTTTGGGGAGTGTACAGTTCTTGTTCTCACTGCTTGTTCTACAGCTATCAGCTTCAATTTACGCATTCCAAAGAAATCAGTATTGCTATTTAAATTCTTTCTAATAGTAATGCGGTAAAAATCGATTCGCAGCAAAATCTCCGCTATTATATGAGATCGTGCTTTGTTAACCAAATAAAAACTATTTTTGAAGAATTTCCGGACAGTTTTATATATTTACAATAAACTTTAATAGAAGTATACACAAGAAAACGAGTATCTTTCATTGGCAAACATAATATTCCTACTACCATTGAAAATAAATTCACTGCTTTAGTTATCTTTTTATTTATTTATTAGTCTTGTTTAAATTTTCACAGGAAGCTGAAATATATGTTTCTGACATTTTTTTTATCTAAAATAATAGAATATTTACATTTGAAATATAATCAAAAATGTTTGTTGAGACTATAAATTTTGAATGTAGTGATTTCGAATAATCTCAATATTATGCAAGCATCAGCATGCGCACAGGAAAACGTAGATGTAAAAATATATTTTCATTAACATTTTGAAGATTTTCGTGAGTAATAAGCTTCCTTCTATTTGAATCAGAGGAAGCAGAATAAGGATATTTTTATCCACCCTCTATTTAAAATCAAGCGCTTTTTCATTTCCGGATTTGCTGGAGATTGTAACTCTACTTAAATACTCCAAGCAGTATTAAAATCATTATCTAATTTTTACTTTTATGCAGATTATGTAAAAGAAAAGATAAATCATGTATTTTTTTTTTCTAATAATAAATTTTAATTTCTTATATTTCAACAAAAAATGATTATATTATAATATGATCAGCAAACAATTCGCGTTTGTATTTAATTTAAAAATAAAATACAATTATGTGATTCATAACTAGATTATTCACAAAATAAAAATAGAGAAATTAGTTCCTTTCTAAAACTAAAATTATGATCCGTCATCTTTCGCCATAAAATCATTTAACAGTAAATATTTTAATTAATGAAAAAACGATATGCATTGAAGCTTGTTTGCTAATAAAAAAATCTAAATATGCTCCCCAGACAGTATAGTGGTTAGGGGAGCCGACTGCGATACTAAAGACCCCAGGTTCGAATCCCGGAGAAGGTATTGATGTGTTTGTCCGTTCCCTCACAGGAGGCAAAGATGGCCCACCTGTTAGGTGCCTCCATAATTAAGTGACCTGAGCTTTGTAGAAGCCAACGTCTGTGGACGGTTTGGGACCTTCATTGAGAAAGAAATCTAATTATATAACTGCTAATAATGAGATTGCGATTCATTAGCTTTCGCCTTAAAGTGATTAAACTAATAGCAAACAGTGCGCATTTATTATTTTCTTTCTAATAATAAAATTATGATTCATTATTTTCGGCATAAAATCATGACAATTAATTCGGGAAACAATACATATTTAGTATTTTTTTAAAAAGAAAATTATAATTCGTTACCTTTCGCCATCATTAACAGCAAAAGATGAGCATTTAAATATTTAATTTCAAATAATAAAATTATAATTTGTTAACTTTTGTCATAAAATCATTATATTAACAGCAAAGTATTCGCATTTGCTCCTAATTTCAAAATAAAATGAAATTTCGTGATTGAAAATTATGGCAAAATAAAGGTAAATAAATAAGATTTAAACAGACAATTTTTTTCGTTGTTGTTTTAAACTATTCAGAAATAATAACATTGTACGAAATTCCAGCTTAGATACCATGAGAAAAGAACATTGAATTTACATTCCATATTTTAAAAATGATCGCATATTTTTCTCGCATAGCTCATACAATATTTTTGCAAATTACTGCAAAGAAAAAATTACAATGTTCTTTAAACACTTCACTCTGTAAGTTAACTTACTTCATTTATAAATATTATTAATTCATTATTTTGCAGATTTTTACATAGCAATTCTTCGCTTTCATGGTTATAAAAGTAAGATGTGTATGTAGTAAATGCATTCCTTTTAAACAATTTGTTTTATCCGAAAATCGTGTATTTTTTTATTGTAAAGAAATGTTATTAATTATACTTATTATATTGTGAATAGAGTTTTATATTCTTATTACGTGTTTAAATAATGGTGATGTTTGTGGAAATAAAGTTGGATGGTAACAATTCTGCATTTTCGTAAATCGTTTGCGTAAGACTAAATAAAACATTTGAAAAATTCTAAAGTGATTAATGATGCTGCGATTCTTAACTTGCAGCGTTCAGTTTTTAAGAGTACGTCAAACATGACAAGATCTAGTGGTAAAATCATTACATTAAAGCAAAACATTTGTATTTTTAACTGTTAACTGGAGAACTAGTACTCTGAGGAATACATATTAGCTCCTCGTTAATTAATAAGTTAGTTAATTATTATTTTTTTAAGGGGAGGGTTAGGAGAACTATATCATTAGATACTTTTGACACACCAATCCTTCCGAAAGTGTTTTATAGAATTCTTTAAAAAATCCAGCTTTGAACTTTAGAATCCTTGAGACCCAATTTTTTCTAAGCTACGCCAGATAATTTCATACAACTATCTAGAGAGATTCTGTAGAAACATGCGCAGCTATTTTATAAAGATTTGTGTAGAAATTCTATAAAATGTGTAGAGGTTCTATGTGTATAATCTTATGTAAAGTTTATAAAATCAATTAATAGTATTCGGCTAAAAATATCACATTCTGCTTATAGAAAATTGGGACATTACTCTAAATAATTTTAAACAAGTTTCCTTGCATTAATTTAAAAAAAGAAAAATCATTTGAGTACTTAAAACTATTATAAAATCAAAAAATGTTCTTTGAGATAAAAAAGAATGAATAAAAGTTTCATTTTTGAATAGATTTAACTTAAATTTAAATGATCTATGACAGAAAAGGAGGAAAAACACATTTGGGAAAGATGTGATTTTTCTTTTAATAAGAATTTTAATAGGATTTAGATTTTTAAAATTACTTAACTAAATACATTTTAACTACTATTTCACTTTAATTTAAATTAAGTAACCATTTTTTTATTAGGATACATATACAGTAATCGAAAGCATAAATTTTAGGAATTAATATTTTATAAACTACAACATAAATTTAATACTTTTTTAACTAATTTTATGATATAAATTGATTTTAAGCTTTTGCAAAATTTAATTTTAGTATTATATAAGAAATACTGTACAAAACATTGCTCAAAACGTCACATAAATTTAAAAGCTAAAACAAAACATTAAGCTAGGAAAAAATAAGAATGAATGAAATGAATGAACAAAAATGTTTCTTTTTACTCTTTTGTGTTCCGTATAGTAATGTCGTGAATGTGTAATAAGAAGATATAAATTTGCTGTGATGGAAGTTTGACAATTGTGCAACGTTCAGTAGAATAGTATTCTATTAAGCAAATAGCAAAATAGCATTTTGCTCTGTGGAAGATTTATAAAATTTCTGCAGAATTTTAAAAAAAGCATTTCTATAAAGTTCTGTAGAATTTCTATCAGTTTTATCAGCTTACATAACAGTACAGGTACAGCCCTGTGTTTAAGACGACTGAATACTTATATGTCGGCCCGGGTTCGAATCCAAGCGAACGACTAACTATGCAGTTAGTTTTGTGGTTTTCCTCATATATAATGAGAAAATGAATTTAGAACTAGACTTTCCTTTAGAAATTTCTTCCACGAAGACACCTCTCTCGCTAGGAAGGTAGCATTCGTTAGGTAGAATCGTATTCTTTATCATATTCAAATAACCTAAGCTTTAGATGCATTGACAGGTTATTTATAAATAGAACTAAGATGGACATACGTAATGGAATTACGTTATGGGTATAGTTTGGAACTTTTCTCTGTGTAGAGGCTTCCTTTTTTCCGGGAGGGAGAGATAAAAGTGTACATTTAAATCTAATTTCAAATCGAATTTTTGAAAATTTAAGTTGTCTTTTACTTTTCGGTTTTGAAGTTTTCCTATTTCCAAATTTAAAATGTTTAGGCAATTTTCCCTTTTCTAAAATTTTGGTTTTCTTGTTGTCTTATTATTAGTAAATAGTTAATTCTACCTCTTTGGTATACCAAATTACCTGTTCTTAAAGAAAACATTTTCTTTCCCTTTTTCAAAGTTTTAATTTATTAGCTTTCTTCTACTATTTTTGTATGTTATGTACATAATTTCATTCCAGTCGAATAGGGCAAGTTATGTTTTCATTATTAACTTTTAAAATTTATTTTAAACATTTTCCTATTAAAATAAGTCACCATTTTGTATTAATTTATTCGCAACTAATTATCTGAATTTAACAAGGAATCCTTTGATTAATTTATTTTGCAGTTCATCCAGGTATAATTCGGAAACGTGGCTTTTTTGATAATTCTTTTTGCTGTTCCTTGCCAAAAAAAAAAGAAGGAATTATCAACTACTCTTTATTTGTTTATTACTTTGTATTCAATATTTAATGAGATTATTGATTTGTTTTGAATTAATTTACTAATTATTCAAATGATAATGATTTGTTTTGAATTAATTTTTTCGCCTTCTAAATTTTTGCTTCAAATTGTTTTTAATTTGCGTCTTCCCGTTAGATACTCCTTTGTGACACGTTTCTTTTA